GAAAACTGGAAAACATTTGGATAATGTTGGCTAGTTTGAGAGTCTTGTCTAACAGCACAAGTCAGTTCTTTATGTCTGTAAGTCTAGTAAAGCCTCAGACAGAGTAGAGTGATGTATCAGTTCTGACAAGGAAAATGTATAGCTTCTGCACATCAAGTGAAGACTTCACTGCATTTTATCACAAAACTCATTGGTATCAGACTAATATGGAGATTCTTGCCATAGTATTTAAAAACAATAAAATAAGTGATCATGCGTGACTAGTGAAATGGCCACATTAGTTTGTGCATTTGTAGATTCTTTTATTTTTAGGCGCTGCAAAGCCAGTAGCGTGGAACAGTTCTAGTCCCTCTTTATAGTGCAATCATTTTCTCAAATACATGTTCCCTTTAAGAAGATCAGATTTTGTGCAGATGTGAAAATGAAACATGTATTCATGCTGAGCTGTGAGGCCCACATGCATTCATTTACCCTGAATACAAGATTATCAATTGCCATAATCCAGTGAATGTGAGTTGGTTGTGTGTAGTTTAACCCAGTCTGAAGGAGTCAGCTGACAGCTGCGTGCCCCATTAATCACACTGTCATTACCCCAACATACTGTACATGCATCAAGGGACTGGGAATGAATCAGAGGGCAGATGAAGTCAAAGGATGCGGTCTGACACTGAGGAAAATACAAGAGAATAGGCATCCATTGTGACAGAAATATATTTGATTGCCCAACTGCTTAAATGATTTTAAAGAGAGAAACCGGTTTAATTTAATATTCATAATTTCATAACTGTCCAAAGCTATTCCCATATTTTTTAGCTTTATTGGAAAATAATTTTATATTGCCGTCAAAATCAGTTAGCTGTTGGCACAGTGTGGGGACTTTTGTATTAAAGTTGCACTGCACAACTTTTCTGATCAAGGGTCCACTACCTACTTGTCTCCATGGAGATGTTATTGCTTTGCCTGTAATGCTCCATGGTATGATATTAAACCAGGGATCTCCAACCTTTTTCCTCCAGTGAGCTACTTTTATAAAACAAAAATGCCAGAGAGCTACTAGTTTCAATGGTCACAAGAAATTGAGCTTATATAAGAACCACAGAGAGCCTTAGACGAGGTACAGGCCGATAAAACATAAACCACTGTCCATTTAGTGTATGAAGTTAGGCATCAAAATAACACATGTACAGTGGTAATAGGCATTTCATTAATGAAATTTTACTTATTCATAATATAATAGTACGATATAGTACAATTAGTATAGTATAAATCGTATAATTCAGAAATACCTTGGTGAGCTACTTGGAACAGGGTAGAAAGCTACTGGTAGGAGACCCCTGCATTAAACATACGCCTAGCACATATATCTTACATTTATTCTTTACAGGCGCTTCTGTTGCTCAAAAACACAATAATTCCTGCTGTGAACAGGGGTGACTCTCCACAGATCTGAACTGTAATGCAGCGTATGTAGTGCTGTAACCTCCTTGTCTCCCTCATGATATATGTTTAATCTATTTTGTAGAACTTTCTAAACAAAGCAATAGCATTTCCATGGAGTCACGCAGGTAGTGGACCCTCCACTAGAAGTTGTCCAAAGCTATTCCCATGTTTTTCAAAAACAATTTATATATCATGACTAAAACCAGTAAGTTATAATTGACAGAGTGTGGGGACTTTTGTATTAAAGGTGCACCGTGGAACTTTTCTGGTGGAAGCTCTGCTACCTACTTGTCTCCATGGAGATGTTATTGCTTTGCCTGTAATGCTCCAAGGTATGACATTAAACATACCTAGCACATATATCTTGCTTTTATTCATTACAGGTGCTTCTGTTGCTCAAAAACACAGTAATTCCTGCTGTGAATAGGGTGACTCTCCACAAATCTGAACTGTAATGTAGCATACATAGTGCTGTAACCTGCTTGTCTCCCTCGTAATACAGGTTTAATCTATACTGTGGAACATTCTAGACTAAACAAAAACATTTCCATGGAGATACGCAGGTAGCGGACCCTCCACAAGAAATTGTCTAAAACTATTTCCATATTTTCTAGCTGGACTGGAAAACAATTTATATATCACGGCCAAAATCAGTAAGTTATAACTGGCACAGCGCAGAGCTTTTTGTATAAGAGCATTGTTTTTTATCATTAACTACTGGATGAGACTAAAGCAGACCAGGGATGCAGCAGACAAAAGAAAATCTGCTTTGGTTGTGCTTGGTCTGGTGGGGATTTAAAGGCAGTGGAGAGCCTGGCCAGAGGGGAGAGGCTGTTTTAAGGTAGAGACAGCTCATTAGGCCCAGTGACAAGAAGCACGTGGGGACCTTTACAGAGGGGAGCGGAGGACACAGGCTGGAACAATCACAACCAAACAGGTATGCACTAACATGAAGAAGAGGGCACTGCTGCTGTCACCTCTGCATAACCTTATATTTTCTGAGCCATTCCTAAAGAGCACAGTGGAGATAATGTCTATATTTGCTCAGTGTGATGCTAAACAGATCTGAAAAGCCTAAGCCTCTGGGTTTTCTGTGCGTCTGAAAAAGCATCTTAGACTCTGATCATTTCAGCTGCATATGAATAGGCCTGTGTGTGCATATGGGTAGAGGTTTATAGTGTTGTGGGGACTAAAATCTGTACACACTCAAATTCATGAACACCATTCTTCGTTATGGGAACAAAAATACCCATTAAATTAAGTTCTTTATTATTAGAAAAAGAGCATGGTTTGAAATGTAAATATGGATTTAAAAGATGAAGCTTATTGTTTAGGTTAAAGGTGCATTGTGTAACATTTCTTGCTTTTCTCCTTATGTATTTCTCAGTATGGTCTGAAATCTTTCTAACTTCATGGAGACCAAACCAGGCCACGTTACAGCTCACAGTCAGAATGTCCGTTTTTCTAGGTATTTTTGTGCTATAAAACCAGCCACAATTTAATAAATGTAAAGTAGAACTGTTAAATAATGTCATACTGTGGAACATTCCAGGCAGAGCAATGACATATCCATAGAAACAAGGAATGTTAAATGGTATGACATTAAGCATATCCATCTAGCATTTATTTATTATGGGTGTTTCTGTTGCTCAAAAATACATCAATTCATTGTCTGAATAATGCGACTCTCCACAGATCTGAATTGTAATGTGGCATAATGGTGTAACCTGCTTTTCTTCCTCGTGATACATTGATCTATACAGTGTAATATTCTAGACGAGGCAAGCAGGTGGCGGATCCTCCTCTAGAAATGTTACGCAGTGCACCATTAAGACTGGTCTCTTGGAAATGAATGCAAATTAATGTAACATCCCCAGAAACCATGGAAACGCAGCATATGTGTGCATGAAGCTATGTTTGCGAGTCAAATATTCACGCAGCGCATCACACGCACACAAACAAAAGGTGTAAATCCAGTGTTTGCCCTGCAGGAGTCTTGCTGATGGAGCCGAAGAATTCCCAGAGCCTGCAGAGAGGGGCAGCCTGTGTGGGCACTGAGCTGTCAGTCAAATCCACATGTAGCAGAACAAGTGATGCATGAAGGCTGAGATCTCACTGTCATTTTATTTCAAGACCGGTCCCTCCAAAGATCACCACACCACAGGAGTCCAGCTCTGCTCCAGGCAAACACTGGCCTCTGTGTTTGCACTTACTCTTTAAGGACTATTTAACAATCTGTCAAGTGAATACAATTAAAAAAGATCTAAGTGCTCATTTATCTTCATACAGTTTTGTGCACATTTTTATTTGGCCATTAGTAAAACAGTAATTTAAACTGTAATGACTTTGTGGAGGAATTTTACCCTTTAAATAAACTTTTTCTTTTTTTTTTTTTTTTTTTTTTTGATTACACACAACTAGGTGCATAAACTTGATACAACAAACATGCCTGTGTGTCGTCAACAGTTACATGTCAGGATGAGGGAACATAAACACAACATATTATTTAGTAACACTACAATACAATAGTAATAAAACAACATTTACAAAAGTACATTTAGGAAGAGAAAAGGATAATAGCAAGAGGAGTAGAGTTCATTCAGCCTGAGTTCATAAAGTCCAGGGAAATGTCACACATGTAGGAATACACTTTTTGAGCTTTAGGTCCATTCTTATATTTCAGAGCTTTTATATATAATTTGAGTTCATTTCCTTTAAATAAACTTGCTTTGCCTTTTAGCTCGATTCCTTTTTGCTGTGGCGCTGTCCATGGTGCTGAAAAGCTGAACCGGAGCTTTGTGGCTTCAACGGCTACAAACCATAAAGTGGACGGCGTGAGAGATCTTTAATAATAACATATAATTTTGGCCACTATATTCACAACTGTTATGAATAGTTAACTGTTGCAACAAAATATGTAAGCTATTCCTTTTAAGGTCAGACAAGGCAGACTAATGTGAGCCTGCGCAAGTCAGCGTTTTTAAATAAAAGCTTTTCCTTTGAATATTTATGTGGGAGCTGAAAGGCGTTAACTTTATTTCAGTCAACATCTGGAACTATTTCCGGTTTTCCACAGTCTGAAGCACTTATTTTGAAAGCGCCTCCTGGACGTGGAAACCGAGCCCCAGTAGCTTGAACCGAAGGAATGAGAGAACACAAGGCACTGCCGCTGGCCCGCCACACTCGCGCTCTCTGTGCTCTCAAGTTGCGCCTCGCAGCTCTTCTCTCGGAAACGCAGCGCACATGATCGCATCTTCTTTGGAAAGCACATTAGCTCGTGTGATTTTCGCAAAGAACTTGCGGCATTTTTCCTTTTGTGGACCCCTCACTTTGCGTCCGAGTCTCGGAGTAGATGGAATAAGCTTGAAACGTCATGTTTACGCACGGGTAGCGGAACATACTGAATGCAACTTTGACTCGGAGGAACGCACTTTGGAATCTTTTTAACATATGTTTTTTGTTTAACGAACCACGGCAAGGGACGTTCAGATAATGTCTGACCACGTCAAGTTACAGATTTGGTGGATATCAACTATGCATGGGGTCGCATGTTTTAAAAAATGATTGCTGGCAGCACCGACGGTAAAATAATGGTCAGAAGATGTCTACTTACCTTCAAACCGTTCAGGTAAGAGATGCGTTTCTATGGCTAACCTTGTAGTGATATTAAACATGTTTCCGTCGTTAACTCATTGGGGACATTATCGGTAAGGTCCATGTTTCGTGCAACTAAATCTCGCCAGACGAAGCAAACATCCCCTATGGATTGCTAGTCGCCGTGGAGCATTTAGTTGTAAAACCCGCTGCATAATTAGACATTACATAGAGCCAAATGACACGCGGGCAGCAGATGTTTCCCTAACAGATGAATCAGATTGCTTTCATGGGGATAAAGCGACCGCGCGCAGCGATAAATCATGTAAGACTAGTTGGAATAAGCCCGTAGCAGCGAGTCGAGCGCTAACTTAGTTTATCGCTGCATATATTGTTCCATTATCAGTGGATCCCGGGGTTGTGTTTATCAGAATGCACCGGCTGCTGGAGGTTTCCTACACCACGGGGACTGCATAAAGAGGTTCTCAGCTCATGGTAGATCCACGCGGTGCCGTTTATTCTGAGATGCTTTCAAGTGGTCTGCGTGGTTTTGGAGAGCTTAAAGAGGGATTTCTTTGTCTCTGCTCTGTGAAGGTGCAGCGGAGTGCAGCTGTAGCCTACTGTACACAACTCATTCATGCATCTCCCTGTGCAAAACTGGTATGAATAAAGATTAAAAAGGTATAATGCAAACGGTACTAATAATAACAGAGCTCATCATTTGTTAGAACAACGATCATTTTAGAATAATGTGTATTCATTCATTCATTCATGTCATTTTACGTTTTTGTTTTTTATTACAATATACACAGCCAGTACTATTTTTGTGTGCATGGCTGATGTTAACCCCAGCTTTTAAAGTCCTATATTATGCTAAACTGACTCTTGTGAGCTTAAGCCATGTTACAGTGTAGTCGTTACTTCCTCAAAAACATACCTGGAGTTGTGTTTTGTTTAATTCACGCATGTTTTTAGTCTGTCTACATGGAATTTGTGAAAGCTTGAGAGAAGAACACAGCTTAAGTATGCAGGATTTGTGTGTTAACCATGTGTGAATGAAACAAAACACAACTCCAGGTATGTTTTTGATGAGGAAATAACATTATAACATAGACCAGAAAATAACGCAATATAGTCTCTTTGAATATATCCCGTATACTGTATATTACTAACAAACCATCAGCTTTTGAACTTTGGCTTCATAGTAAGCTCCAGGATCTTGCTCCAAATGCGAGTAATGTCTTGGTTCCATGGTGGGGAGATTTCTTGGAAAACATACCAGCAACACCTCCATGCCTGGCAGCTCCTTCTACTTCACAAATCACCATGTACCTACCTTGAGGCCAAAGCATGAATATATGTGTGAGGAAGCCAATTAGCTGATAGCAGATCTCTCCTCTGATCCAATTAAAGGGAGCCGAGCGTTTACTTTAGGCCTGTTAATTAAAGAGTCATCAGGCAGGAGCGAGGTCTAATCCCCCTATCGCCCACCTAATGCTACTTTAGAAAAACGACAAAACGATAAGACTGCCAATGATAGCCCCAGGACAGCAGCAGATCAGCCTCACCCACACCAGAGCTCCTGTTATCTCTCCATGATCTCGTGCATCAGTGTCTGTGGTGGCGACGCAAGTGCACATTTGAGCTAAATTATTTTCCCTCTCAGATCAAAAGATTAGAACTGACTTTGATGAAACTGAATGAATTTTGCATCTTGTCTTATATGACTAACCTTTGTCTAGATATTGCAACATCTTTATAGAAAATTTAACCAATCCCTACACTTAAAATTTGTGTGAAATGTGTAAGGGAAGAGAGAATACTCAACTTTGCTTCTAATTTAGGCTGTATTCACACTTGTTTCCTGGTTTGATCTCAAATTAGGTCTGTTTTTAGTCTTGATTTCCAAATTTTGATGTGCTCCGAATGTGAACGCAGCCTTAGATCAAACAGCGATCACTAAACACTGCTAATTCGTTCTGCTAATTTACATCACTGTTGTACTACTACCTCTGGCTTTTTGCATAGGTTCATGTAACATCACAACATACTTGAATTCCAGTATTTTAAAACTGAGCTACAGATGGAAGTCTGTCTCTGTATCTCTAATTTGTGTCTCTAATTACAAATTCAGGGGTCTCCAAATTGTAGCTCAGGATTTACCAGGAGCTCTCCACCCCTTTCCAAGTGGCTTGCCGAGAGATTCTGAATTATAAGTATTGTGCTGGATAACAAAAAATGATGAATGATATGCTTAATTGTAAGTGAATCATTTTGATGCCTATTTTTGTGCACGGATAAATGTTCAGTGGTTTATAGGCATCGAACTGTACCCCATCTAAGGCTCTATATACTCAATTATTTCTCGTGACCATGCACTAAAATAACTCTGGCATCTTCATTTTGTTAAGATAGCTCACCGCACGGAAAAGGTTGGAGACTCCTGCTCTAATTACCAGACCTATCCATGAAACAAAAATTGGCATAAAGTTCAACATATTCTCAGTCCACTTAAATAAAATGGTGATTCAGTGTTTTTCAAAATAGCTTCAGAAAGTGGAGCCTTTGTACAGTCCTAAAGATGTGATTATTGTCAGCTGAAAAGACTTTAAGATATAACATTAATATGACAAGTTTGTGGAGTTTATCCTTAAAAAGTAATGATAAATTTAACATTTTTGGATCTGCGTGTGGGTATTTCTTTTAAAAACAGTAAAACTCCCGTAGATTTATATCAGCACCAGTGCACCACCATCATCAAATTCTCAAATGTGAATGAATCCTATCCCTATTTATGCATACTCTTAACACAAAGCATGCAGATTAAAACTTCAGCAGAACAGATGGACTATAATATTTGATTATTTCATTATGTTGTAGAGCCCTGGGAGGGACAGTGCTTAGGAGTAGGAACAGTAAATGAGAACGAGCCAGCTGTTTGGATGCTACTGCTCACTTGTAAACACACAGCGTGCTTTCTGCTTATTCTGTGTTCTCAGACTGGAGGGGTCAGTGGCCACCTCTCCTCTCTGATCATTACTGTTTAGTGCATTCTCTACAATAACATAGAAAGAGTGTCATTTCAACATGGACTCCAGCACAACAATACAAGTGCTGTTAGAAATGTTCAGTTTTGATCCTACAGTGGTTCAAATGTATTTCTGTATTACTGTGTTTACATGCGAAGCAGCTATGGACAGGCAGTGTTGGGAAGTAACTCAACACATGTACACAAATCTGTATTCTGAGTATTAGTTTTGAGTATTAGTTTTGAGTTACTGTATTCTGGTACAGTTAAAGTTATTTTTTATTTGGTGCTATTCAAAATGTACTTACTTTTCTAAAATCAAAGGAATACATGGTGGTACTTGATCACACAGTTTTGGCTTTGAACTGTGCGTTTTAAGTAAGAAAATTTGAAAACATGTAGTGCAAGTGTGCATGCATATTTTTCTTTTCTAATTAGACATAACTTAAAGGTGCAGGGAGCATTTTTTCTGGTGGAAGGCCCGTCACCCGCTTGCCTCAGTGGCTCAGTAGAGATGTTATTGCCTTGTCTTGATTGTTCCACAGTAGAGATTAGCCCTTCATCTCAAGGGAGACAACTATAGGCTACATTACAGGTCAGATCTGTGGAGAGACAACCCCATTCATAGAAAGAATTATTGTATTTTTGGGAAATAGATACAACTGTAATAATTGATTGATGTGTTTAATATTATACCATGGAACATTCCAGGCAAAGTGACTTATGGAGACAAGAAGGTGAATGACCCCTGACCAGAAAAGTTGTACAATGCACCTTTAATAACAAACAGTTCGATAAAAGTCAAGTTGTTTGTAATTCTAAGTCAGGGGTCTCCAACCTGTAGCTCAGGAGCTACCAGTGGCTCTCCAACCCCTTCCAAGTAGCTCGCCAAGGGATTTCTGAATTACATGTATTGTGCTGAATAACAAAATTTTGGTCAATTAAATGGCTTTTACGATTGTAAATGTATCACTGATGCCTAAAATTTGTGCAGTAATAAATGGTTTATGTTTTATAAGCATCAACTTGTACTCTATCTAAGACCATGACTCTTTCATTAACTCAATTTCTTGTGACCGCTGAAATGAGTAGCTCTCTGGTATTTTTGTTTTGTAAAGGTAATTCGCCAGAGGAAGACGTTGGAGACCCCAGTTCTATCTTGTGTGTTTTTTCCACTGTATTATAATGCAACTCTGTGTAAAATTATCCCAAGTATTCAGAATACAGTAAGTACTCTGACTGAAGCCATGTATCATAATACATGGTTCAAAATACATGTTAATGCAGGTATTCTGTATTCTGTAACTAAATACATTTTCAAAGTATTCTTCCCATTGCTGTGGACAGAGGCTGCAAAATGGGTAAAGTTTGTCACATTCTCTTGCAGCAAATTGATCTGAACATTCCCTCTCTTTCTCTCCTCAGTGTTGATTTATCACTTTAGAAAGAAGCTACTGCCCCTTTTAATCCTGATTTTTCAAACTTTTGACATAATAGAAGGCCGGCGCTCTCATTTTTTCAGTGTGTCTTCTGGCTTGTTTTACAGACTAATGATTCACTTCCAATAGCATCGAAGTGGCAATGCAGAAATGAAAGTGCCTGTGACAGGTTAGACTACTCATTAAACACGGTGAAGATCGTTATATTTAAGATTCACACTTGTTTTCCTAAGTTAGCCACACTGTAGGTTTACAATTTTACTTAACATCACACTAGGGAATTATTATCTGACAAATACAAATATATGAAAACACTTTTACTTTGTTGAAAGTATCAGAAAAAATTGTATTTCTTGCGTGTAAATTGTGCTGAAATTTTTGATAGAATGTGTGATGTCAGCAATTTATAGTTACAATAGTTAGAATCACACCAAATTAAATCAAGATTAGAGAATCATAAAAATCCATACATACTTTAATCTTTAATTTAATTCTGAGGTGTTAATTAGGTCCGTTAAAGGTGCACTATGTGGACTTGCTTTACAGTATACGGAGATATGGCATTGA